ATTTTCGGCCAATCTTTCCAATGCTGCATTATCATCTGTTAAAACAAAAGGAAAATGTAAATCTATTAATATTTATTGTTAATGTTTTTACAGGATATGCAAATGGTATTTAGATAGACCAAATCTGTCATTATTTCTACAATATCATTCTCTTGTACCGGAAATAATCCAGGATTTTGAAAATAATTTTTGTCTTGCATAAAATCTACTTTATCTGTGGCGAGATCATTAGAATTTTGCGATATTTTATTAATAATTCCTTTATGCTGAACTGACGAAGCTGATGAATATTCAAATTAGTATTCATTTATTAGAAAAGATAATCATTTTTTCTTATCGTACAATAATAATCTCCTTTATCGACTAATTTTCCATAAAGGTGCAACTCTTGCATTTCCATTATGCTCTTTGAAGTATCGGTTGATGAATATTGATGAAAGAGAAAATATAGACCAATGTGAACTTTTTCACATCTAATTGCCAATGTTTCGTACCGTTTCAATAGTTTATATGTATCACCATTTCTACTACAAAATTTAGCATCTGATTGGTACAGAGTATCAGGTGTCATTTTAACAGAGGTATGTAAATAAGGCACAATATTTCTATTTTCTATGGGTTTTTTTTAAATAGTTGTAAGTAAAAGAGAGATAAATCGAATTGAAATTACCTGGCTGTCTACGCCGTATTAAAACGAATCCAAAGAGTTTGTACAAATTTTTCAGTATAATCAACAAGAACGGCTTCTGGTAATGAGTATCAGAAGAATGATACGAAGTTAAGTAATTTCTATCAATTGCATATTCCCCTTTGTAATCTTCATAGAGAAAAGAGTATCTCATCTTAAAATTTTCAATACTAATCTTCTTATTTTCTGAAAAATATGAAAAGAGAAAATGTATAATTTAATCTATTTTATTATTTAAAGTATCATTATTTTTACCTCTTTCATTATAAAATAATCCTTTAACGTCAATGTCACAAAGTTCAATTACTGAACTATGTAATTGTTTTTCTATAAAAACAAAAGAACCAATGACGTCATCATTCTCACATGTGAAACACTCATAATTAGAGAAGCTAGTTGAAGTCGACATTTTAATTGGACCTTTTATATATGTACAGAATTTGTTCTCCTTATTAAAATACTTTCCAACAGTAACATTAAGTTCTTTGAGAGATGTTCCTACAAATTAATCCGAAGCGTTTTGAATATTTAAAAACTACTCAAAAAATCTTCTCTCTATAACAGCGAACCAGGACTTGGATGTTGAATGATGATAGGTTTTCGCACAATTTTCCTATGATGAAAAATTTTAATAGTTAGAAATTTCAAATTTTTTTATTATTTTAAATTAGAGACAATGCTTATGTTGGAGTCCGTTGCGAATTGTGGCGTATATGTTACAGAGCCCGAATAGTCAGTTGTGCTCTGAAATGAAAGCTTTTCTCTTGCAAGGTTAACAAAAATGTAGCAATTGGGTTGTAGTGCTGCATAAGTAAAATATATTTCAAATGTGAGATTGTAACTAAATGTCCAAAATAAAGGACTCTTCTCTTATATCAGTTTAACTAACCACTAAAGAAGAGAAATAATAAAGGCTTTATATTCGTTTTCATCATTCAAAACCTATCTTTCTATTCCAACCGCAAATGTTTCATACAGAGAAAACTCTCTGTGCAACTTTGTAGAAAACTCATAGAATAATTGTAAATATTGTATATCCTTTGTGTTTGTGATAAAAGATTCATTTTTGATGGTATGTTTTCAATGTAAATTTTAGCAATGGAATGTCTATTCAACTGATGTTTTAAAGATCTAAACAAAAATTACACATTTAAGTATACATATATAGTTATTGATAAAGTCCAAGAATTGCTATTGATTTTTAATTGCTACCAGTTTTTAATTGGTTAGGAATCTTTTTCAATTTGTAAAGTACTTAAAAATTTTTTTACAAATTGATCTAAAGCATTGGCTCTTTATAAGCTTACTAATAATTGTTGCTGTCTAGAAAGTTGTGTAGAGAGAGAGAGAGAAAGAGAGAGAGAATATGCTATATAAACAATCAATTCATTGATAACTAACTTCCAGTCTAAAAACTTTAAAAATTTTGTCACAATAAACTTTTTCAACAATTTTCAACAATTGTTGAATTTTCTAAAATGCTGAAGAGGTTCGGCCGCCTTCTTTTTACTTTCATCATAGAAAAGGAGATCAGAATTTGTTCTCTCCATAATGATATCTCTCATTTAGCGGTGAATCTATGAGAAGATACAGGAATTTTCATTTTAAATCATCTTCAAACACCTCAAATATCCATCTGAAAAGTTGCTAAGGTTTTTAAATATAGCACAAGAACTGTTTAAACTATAAAAGAAAATTTTATTAATGTTAAAATAGTGAAAGATAGACCAAGTGATGGAGAGAAAACAAAAACGGTTCAAATGACGTTTTATGGTCGTCTGTCAATCAGAGACTCATGCAGCTTTTTCATCTCTGCCTTTCTCTTTCTATTGATTTTCTTCGCAATTTTTTCATTCTTCTTTCATAATTCCTCCTTAGTTTTTAACTGAAATCTGTCATAGACAGTATCTTGTGTCTTATTAATCCAATCTCTTAAAGCTTGAACAGCTGAAAAACTGTCACTTGGTATTTTGTTTAATTCATCTTTAGCTTCCTTAATATACTTTTTATCAATACTGCAAATGTAGCCATCCTCTGCCGTGCTTTATGGTAGAAGTGATCACAA